GTCATTGCTAGATGGCAATACAGAAGAGACACAAAAAGATCTCTCTACAACGCGCATCCTACGTACTCTCGCTCACTCCCCCCCCTAGGCGCGCTTTTGCGTCGATTCGTGTCCGCGCGCGCGTGTTCTGCTCTCTCGCCCCCCTCGCGAACCGAGACCCATCGCTGTCGCAGGTATTGCGTGCAAGTTCGTGATAAAGTCACGACGGGCAATATGCTTTAGTTGCATCTCACAATGTTGTGATTTGTATGATTGAATTTTTATATGTCTTCGTATCCATGCATCTATGCATGCATGCATCATATCCGATGTTCGCTCAACATCTATGTATGCAGTTCAAGATAGCGCCCGAAGGATTTAAAGGCTCCATAAGAAGTTCAGTTGGTTAAGCCAGTAGATCAATCACGGAGTTAGAGTTAGGACCTTCAAGCTCCTTTGTTTTGCCTGATTCCACTAACCTTCTAGTTCTTTTGCTCCGCCGTATTGAGATTGAGAACTTTTCCACGTTCAAGTTGATTTGTCGTTTTCAGCTTCGTACTTTGTCAACAATTGAGTTGGACCAGTTTGTTCCTACTGTTGTATATTAGAAGAGATGATCGAAAAGATGAGTGGCCCGACTAGCCTCGAACAAGCTCTTAATCACCACAGATAAGGGAAAAGAGTAAGTGGTAATTGAATGAAGAGGCCAAGGGGGATCTGAGAGAAGAACAGATTTATGACACATGGTAGGATGAGAGTTTTTATATCCCTTTCAAAGAGAGGCCTACTCCGACGTATGTCGACTTTTATCTTCCATTCAAGTGTGTGCGTAGGGGCACGTTTTGCGGATTTACCCCGAAGGGCAAGTCTCAAAAATCACTTTCATTGGTTCTACAAATACATTAATCACTCCCTGCAAAGGCATTCATTCATACGGTTCAGCTTCAACTCAACCCATGGACATGTCTCGGGATCTCTCGGGTTTTGTAGACCATGCTCTTAACCAATTGCGGTTTAATTAATCTGCAGTTTAATTAGGTTAATTCTAAAATTGGGTCAACTTAGTTTGTTTTTATCCTAGTTTACCCTAATAACTAAACAAGGTGGCGCTCCACAACCTCACGTGACTAAACAAGGTGGCGACTCACACATCACGTGCATTTCTTCCTTAGTCACATGCATCCATATGCATTTGATGTTTTGGGGAGGGGTTCACACCCGTCTAAGAGTTATTAAGACTATTCTGAGGTCATAACGCTAATAGCTAGCAGTTCTATCTAAATACATCTTCAACCTTTCTGATCAGATCTGAAGGATATCTTCATCTTGAAATCTGATGTCTGCTACTTCAGCATCCCCAAGAGATGTAGCTAGGTGATCTGCTATCACACTGCCTTTGATTGCCTTCTTTGCAACAAACTTTAGATCAAATGCTGTAAAGGTGGTGGCCCATTTCGCCATCTTACTATCTAGAGCCGGCCTCTCTGTAAGGAATTTCAAGGGGCTTTGCTCAATGATGACATAAGTAGTGTAAGAGCGAAAGTAATACTAGAGTTTGGTGCATACCCATGCTAGAGCTAAACATAGTTGTTCAATCTTATTATACTTCAATTTCGTGGTTAGCATGCGAATACTCAGGGTAGACAGCATTTTCTTTGTGGGAATCTAACGCTTCTTATGCCAACATTGCCCTTATGGCTTCATCAGTCACTGAAAGATAGAGAAGAAGTGGTTTTCCAGGCCTTGGTGGCTGAAGGACTAGAGGGTTAGGTAAGTATGCTTTGATATATTCAAAGGCTTTCTGACACTAGTCATCCCAAGTTTTTGGGGCATCCTTTCTTAACTTCTTGAAGATTGGCCCACAGGTGTCTGTTAACTGTGAAACAAATCGGCTGATGTACTGAAGGAGGCCTAAGAACCCCTGAAGATCCTTTTCTATTTTAGGAGGTTGCATCTCTAAGATGGATTTTAACTTTGACAGATCAATCTCAATCCCTCCTTTGGATACCATATAGCCTAGGAAGATACTAGATAGAGCCCCGAAGAGACACTTAGTAGGATTAAGTTTCAGGTTGTACTGGTGGAGTCTAGAGAAGAACTATTTGAGGGCAATTAAGTGGCTTGGCCCGGGCATTAAGTGGCTTGGCCCATCCTAGCGTTTACAACCATTTGTCGACATACCACTTCTATGTTCTCTATTTTAGGAGGTTGCATCTCTAAGATGGATTTTAACTTTGACAGATCAATCTCAATCCCTCCTTTGGATACCATATAGCCTAGGAAGATACTAGATAGAGCCCCGAAGAGACACTTAGTAGGATTAAGTTTCAGGTTGTACTGGTGGAGTCTAGAGAAGAACTATTTGAGGGCAATTAAGTGGCTTGGCCCATCCCTAGCGTTTACAACCATGTTGTCGACATACACTTCTATGTTCTTGTTCATTAGATCATGGAAGATCATGGTAGCCACCTTTAGTAGGTGGCACCAACATTTTTTAGCCCAAATGGCATCATTTTATAGCAAAAGGTACCCCCATTCAGTTATGAATGAAGTCTTCAGCTTATCCAGTGGGTTCACTGGTATCTGATTATACCCTTCCATACAGATCTGTGACTGAAACACACTAGACCCTGTCATTCTGTCAACGTGCAGGTCGATGTGGGCAACAGAAAATCATCTTTGGGACATGCCTTGTTCAAATCCCAATAATGGATGCAAATTCTGATCTTGCCATCTTTCTTGGGAATCGGCACTATGTTTGCCAACCACGTGGGGTAGTCTATGGCCTCGATGAAATTGTTCTCCAATAACTTGGTTATTTCTTCTTTGATTCTAAGGGAGATTTATGCTTTCTACCTTCAGAGTTTTTGCTTTACTAGCTTGATGTGGTCATATATGCGGATCTTATGAACGGCAATGTCAGGATCTATATCGATCATACCACTGGCTGTCCATGCAAAGCAATCTGAAAACTGCTCTATGAGCTCTGTTAACTCCTGTTTACAATCACATTCATGCACAATAAATGTATGTTTTGGTTCATTTTCTATGCCAATGTTTATTTGCTCTTTTGCTATTTTTATTTCTTTTTCTTTTTCATTTTTTGTTTTGCTAGCAATCTCATTCAGGTTAGAGAGAGGGTGACAAGAAAACTAAAACTTTTCATTAGAAGTTAAAGTGTCATGGTCGGCATGTACATTCATTTTCTGAGTTATAAAAAGGTCTCCTAGCTAGGAAAGAGAAGACAAAGAAGACTCGGAAGACCCTAGACTAGACTCTGAATCAGATTTAGTTTGTGACTCAGACTTAGGTTCAAGTTCAAGGATGGTGAATTGCTCTATGCTCTCTTCCAAGTACCAATTCTAAAGGGGTGCTTGGATAGGTTGTTTGAGGCTTGTGGGGTCTGCTTCCACTTGATTGGTAATCATGCATATATCAAAAAGAGAGGCCTCCATGTTTTCCTCCCAATCTACTTTGAGCTTGAAGAGAGGCTCATGGTCTTCTACGGAGAGCCTGACATTAAAGAGAATTTCAAAACCAGGTATTAGTTTTTTAGTTAGAGGGCAATGCCAAGGTTCCTGAAAGAAGTAGTAAGGTTCAGATTCCCCCTCTTGAACAAAATAACCATTGAGAGTTTTGAAGTATGGGCACATCGGAATGTCCCTTATTTCATCTCTTATTCTAGCCACTTGTTTGGCATCTTCTAGCTCCTCTCGATCTTCATTGGTCGGCTTGAATCCAAGACCTAAAGGAGGTTCAGCAATCAGATATTTAGTAAAAGCGGCCATACCCTGCTGGTCTCGGCCGAGTCCCATCCTTGGAAAATAACACATGGCTCTCATCATGTTAACTACCAAAGGATTACTGTAAAGGGCAAAATCCATCGAAAAAAATCTCTTTACTTGGCTCTACTTGAATAAACTGAACTGAGTTGAAGGAGAAGTCGGATAGAGGGTAAACTACCAGTTCAGATTGGATTTCCAGAAGTTGGGCCAAGACAAGGATTTTAGACTTCCCAATCAGGTCTCCTTTAATTGTTACCAATGCATTATTGTAGGGCAATTTCAGTTTCTGATGGAGAGAGGAGGTTCTTAGGCAAGGTTAGACAGAGCTTCGGGAGAAGGAGATGGTTATTGTCTCCCGCTCTTAGTGATTACATTGATCTCCTCAAGTATGTCAATCAGTTCTATGACGCAACATGAGTTATCCAGAATGAGGCGGATCAAAGAGGCCAAGTCAGCATCTGGTCTTAATGTAGCATGTGAATGTTGTTTTGGATCAAACAGAGAAGTATTTGTCCACTCTCTACCAAGTCTTGGATCTTGTGCCGAAGGGTATTACATTTATCAGTTTTATGCCCGGCCCCTTGGTGGAAGGCATAGAAAGCATTTAGGTTGAAAGTCCTTGGGATTGGATTTGTTAGAGGTCTGGGCTCTAATGGTTGAATCAACTTGTCATCAACAGCCTTCTGGAAGATGAATGAGAGAGGAACCCTAAATCTTTGAAGTTACACCTGTCTGTTCAGGCAACTGGTCTTGGAGGAGGAGGAGGAGGAGGAAGTTGTCTTTGGCTAGTTAGATTGGCCACCTCACCGCCTTTCTGGATGACAGGAGGAACTGCATGATAGCAGGCTTTTTGTATCTGGAGGAAGAAGCCTGATCTTCCTTGATCTAGCCTGACTGGATCAGGTCCTCAATCTTTGTTGAGTAGCAATTAGAGCTCGAAAGTCTGGGAGGTACTACGTCCTCAAGTGATTCTGGTAAGAGGGGAGCAAATTCTTGACAATGATGTTGATTTGTTCTTGCTAGGAGAGATGGTTAAGCATTTGAGAAGCCTTGCCTCTCCAACTAGGAGAAAGACTCTCGAGACCCCTATTTGGTAGTCTCCAAGTCTCTCCCGGTAATGTCAACCTCAATATTATAGTGGTATTATTGGTTGAAGGCATTACAGATCTCATCCCAAGTCTTCTTCTTGGCATTATCCAAGGTAATAAACCGGCGAAAAGCAGCACCAATCAAGGACTATTGGAACAAATGAGCAAGGAGCTCATTATTTACACCAAGGGTAGTGAGGGCACCCACATATATTTTCAGGTGTGTCTTACGGCATGTGGTACCATCAAATTTGTCTATAGCGGGCATCTTGAATTTAGTTGGTAGCTTGGCTTCTATGAATAATGGGAGAGAGTCAACATCAATAAGATCCTCATATTTCTTTATGCTTTTGAGGAACTTTTTGAAAGAGTCCATTTTCTCCATCATTTTCTTTACCTCAGGAGAGGCCATATCATCCTTTGTCTGGCTCGAGGTAGTAGTGGCATTGGAGGTGGCTTCGATTTTGGGAACCAACCCTCTGACTTTCTGATCGCCATTAAGTGGAGCAGCATGCTGGTCATTAGAACCTCCAGTCTGGTTCGGAGGGGTGTTGCCATTCTGGCTAATGTTAATAAGAGCTCTGAATTCCCCTAAAACATTCTCTCTCTTATTAGCTATATCATTCCTCAGAGTGTCACTTTGTTCAATGAGCAGGTTCTCCAGGCGAGCCTCTTGTGCTCGAAGCATTTCATCAAGCATAACTCTAAGATTAGTGGGTGGAGTAACATTAATTGTTTTCGTTCTCTAGAAGAAGCAAACAAAAAGTGGTAACAGTATATAACTTATGGTCAGGTTTAAAAGTATGCATCATCAGGGTTTACAACTCAGATCAGTGTTCGGGGTTATAAGTAATTGGCAAAGGTAGTAAGTGTGCTTGTGTCGGTACTTGAGGCTTTTAGGTAATATAGTGGTGCTCAAGTTGGTGTTTGAGGCTTTTGGAAAATGAGAAGTAATGCATGAGTCAAGATTTGAGGGCTTGATCAAGCATTACCCCCAGTTTGGGTGCTTAGGTCAAGCTTAAGGCTTTTGGATAATTAGAGGTACTCAGGTCAGTGTTTGAGGTTTAAGTAGTTTAGAGGTGCTCAGGTTGGTGTTTGAGGCTTTTGAAAAATGAGAAGCAATGCACGAGTCAAGATTTGAGGACTCAATCGAGCATTGCCTCCGATTTGGGTGCTTAGACCAGGTTTAAGGCTTTTGGATAATTAGAGGTACTCAGGTCAGTGTTTTAGGTTTTTCAGTTTAGAGGTGCTTAGGTCAGTGTTTAATGCTTTTGCAAAACGAGAAGTAATGCATGAGTCAAGATTTAAGGGCTTGATCAAGCATTGCCCTCGGTTTGGGTGCTTAGGTCAGGTTTAAAGCTTTTGGATAATTATAGGTACTCAACTTAGTGTTTGAAATTTAGGTAGTTTGGTCGAGCACATCTCCTTAGGTAGGGATGGTGTTTAGGTTGACCACTGGTTAGTGTTTAGGTTGACCACTGATTGGTGTTTAGGTTACTTATTGGTCCATGATATGAAATGCTTGAATGCGTGAATTGTCATGCCAAAATAGTTTAATGATTTTGGATGCATATAATCTTAAGGATTAGTTCTAGGGCCATTACATGCTTTTGGTGGATTGGTTTAAGGGTCCCATTCACTAGAGTTGGAATATACCTCATCATTTGACCATGTCGTATCAAATGGAACGATTAGTATGCCAAACCCTTTACCCAATAAAAGGATCATAAGTGCGCAAGATTGGGTGAGCAGCTTTCTCGACCCAGGGTAGCTCTAAGGAAGATTGCCCCTAAGTGATAACGATAACTCCGCTTGCTTAATTCTAATGACAGGAAAGGATCCCAAATGATGCATCTGAATACATGCAAAAGTCGACTTCTTGATTAAACCCAAATCGGAGGTTCAAAGCCTAATCGGTAGTCCTCTTACTATATTTTTTAGTTTTGAAAAATATTTACGTCCCCAACGAAGTCGCTAGCTGAGTGCCCCCAATCGAGCACCAAGGGAAAAGATGTCCAAATGACAGAGTCTTTTGATCCAGTCGAACCCATTGGTTGGCTCATCACGGAAACTAGGAGCAACTCCTTACGGTTCCTTTTTTTGTCATGATTAGATTGATTGTCAAATTATGGCTCAATTTAGCGCTTAAGTGATGTTGGGTTGGCTCTTTAAAGCGCTTTGATGGGTGTATGATATGTTAGAGTCATTACCTTAATTTGTTTTTATTTTCGGGGAAAAGATTAAGGAAAAAAAACTTGTATTGGACTCCATTTTCAGTTTGCCTGTAGGATAAAATGCACTAGCCTCGAATCATTGGGTTCGGGGACTAGATTTTTAGCTTCTATTGAAATAAATCAATGGTTTGTGTCATAATTTGAGAAATCAAAATATTGTTTGCATGAATGTTAATTTATCGATACATGAGCATACTAATAATGCATGGCAATATTAGAAATGTAGTGCATTAAAAGTAATGAAGGAATAAAGGGTGTAATTTGGAGGGAAGCCTGACTCTAGCCTCATTTATCGAGGATTCTAAGTCGTGCGACACATTCCCCTAAGACCCAACCGAACAGTTTGGTTGGGGCTCGCTACCTAGGATAAAATCCTATATATGTCTTCGTACCTCATTTGTATGAGAATCAGGGCGCATGAAGTTCTACCATCGGTAAGGATGGTAGGGTTGAAGGGTTCCACTCATGGATTGGGCTTAGAGGGTGTGCCGGGCAAACCGGGTTTTAGTTGAAATTGATTTTATTGATTTTGCTGGACGGACTGGGCTTCAAAACATGCTATGTGTCGGACAAATCGGGCTTGTCAAATGATAAGGTGCCAGACGGATCGAACTTAATTGACAAAGGTTAAGTTTGAGTGATTATATCCTAGTACTTGTCACACAGCCAAATCGGAACTCAGACGTTGAAAAAAAAAATTATCAAAGAGGTCGAGTCTTCCTTCAAATTAAGAAAAGGTTGGGCACGAGGACCCTATTATAGTCTTATAACAATGTTAATTAATGAATTATTAATTAATTCTTAAATTAATCAATAATAAATTAATTAACTAATAGCTTTGGTCTAAGGAATACCATAGTGTTAGTGAAAGTCGAAAGGATCGACTTTTGAGTACCAAGTCAGGCCTTAAACTCAACTAACGAAGAAGACCAAGGTCGGACTATATTGCCTTAGAATCATTCAAGGGAGAGCGAGAGTCGTTGGTGCTTGAGAAGCGCTCGATCAAGTAAGAAGAGGTGCTTGAAAATGAGGGGAAAATGCCATATTTATAGGCCAAGGGGCTATTGGACAGAGAAGACGGCAGTACCAGTGTCCCCTAAATCGGTACCGCTGTGCCCAGGATCGGTACCGTTTCAAGTGCTTGGTAAGCACTAGATTGGTACCGATCTCGGGCTAATTAGTGCCGGCCAGGAGGAGTTTGGTGCCGATTTTGCCCTGCCCTTGGTCTTTGATTTTAAGGTTTTTGGGCTTTTGGGAGTCTATTCGAGGCCCAAACGACGTCCGATCGAGCTGATTCTGACGCCGTTAGAACTGTAGTAGAATTTCCTAGATTGCGATGCTAAAATCATGGTCAACAGTCTTGTTTGATGCTCGTCAAGGTCGCTTCTTAACCTCATTGGGTGAGGAAATTACTTCATTCTCTAGTAAGCCCAAACTTGATTCTGTTGGAGGATTTATAATATTATTTTTATATTATTTCCCCAAGAAGCGCACTTCATGTATTGCATAAGGCCATCTAAAATGTTAGAGTATATAGCCAGGGGCAGAGGGAGGAGGGGATTGGGGAGAGCCTAGGCCCCCCAAAATAAAAAAAGTAAAAGATTTTATATGTTAATGGTGCAAAAAGAAATTTTTCCTTAATTTGGCCCTTTTAATTTGGAAAATTTTCTTTCTGCCCCCTTTAGTTTTAGAGTCTGGCTCCGCCCCTGTACATAGCAACCCTAAGTTATTGCTATTTTAAGTTTGTAAGATCTGCAATGATTGGTCCTGTAATTTGCACCACAAAAGCAGGAACGAAAACTGTCTTCGAAACTTAACCAACCGCTGATTGGTGACATATTCCAGTGGATTAGAAACCTAATGCGATCATCCCAATCTAAATTCAAATCCTTTTCACTCTGATGGAGGCACAAATTACAAAACTAGTAGTGTGCCCTAAATTTTCACAGAGGAAACAAAACACTGATAATCATTCATACCTAATCTGACCATACATAATCTAAACATCATCAGTGACCAACTTCTTCTGCCATTTCGAAGGTAAGTGAATGTCCAAAGAGACTAGAATTCTCGTGATTGTATTCCATCCCATTGCAATACAAGTTGAGTCACAAGCCTAGAAAGAACAAATAAAAGAAATTGTTTCAGACATACATCCACGAGATATGTGTGAATCTAAACCCTAGAAGTCAACAATGAATAGCGAAACTATAGCGGGATTATCACCCTCCTGTAGACGATTTCATACAAAAAATAAAGGTTAAACTTCAGTAAAGAAGCGAAAAAGAAATTGTTTAGTGCCAATTTCTGTAGTACTAATACCCCAAAAAGATGTCATATATATGCAAAAGTATTCCTCATAGCATTAAAATTAATACAGGTCATTGTGAGGAACATCCCAGCCATACAAAAATCACACTGGACAAGATAAAAGTACCTAATTCTAAATAGTAGTAACTAGGTTTTGGCCCTAGAGCAATGCTACGAGTGATCTAGTGATCTTTTTTCCAGTGACCAAATTTATATCATAAATAATTTTTAAATTTACATTAAATTTTTCATAATTTACATAGCACATTTTTACATTAAATTTATAATAATTTATCTGGTGATTCTATAAAATATATATACAAAATTATTTACATCATACTAAATTTATAATTTATAATTTACAACTTATATAATACACTTTTAGAATATATTTACAGAATACATTCACATTAAATTTACAATATTTTATATAATATGTTTTTACATTAAATTTATAATATTTTACATAGCATATCTATATTTATATTATACTAAATTATGAAGTAACTTACGATGCAAATAGGCATAAACAAATCTTGGTAATACTTGTCTTCATATGGACTAATGTTTGTAAGATTTTAAATTGTGGCGATATCCTTCTCCATCTCTTTGCATCTTTGCATCTGCTAAAAATACAAAGCTCATTTTTCATATTATTATATGAATAATATGAAGAAATAATTATATAATTAAGAAATTAAATTGGGAGTAAATACACGTTAAAAAAAGGAGGCTCATAATAAAAAACATAAATAATAAATTACTAAACCATAACTACAATTAAGGATGTGAGCAAATAAGATAAAAATCTCATCATGCTATAATTCCCAAAAATTGTGTAGCCAGGATAAATGGTTTGTGGTAATATATCATCATAGCCTCTGTAAAGTAATATTTTGTATATATTTTAGACGAAATCATTGATTTTATTAACAACGAGACCCAAAGAGCCAAGTATACTAAAATTTGACACTTGTCTGAAAGCAAAGACTCATTCTTAAATTAGTGAAGTGAAAGTTTTCAAACAAAATATAAACATTCATAGTTCTTGTGATATGAAAATTAGTTAAATAAGAAAGGCAAAGACATGAATTTAATAACAAAGCATAAGAAAATAAGGAGCCAAAAAAATTTTCAAATGATAACAAACTAGAAATTTGTTAACTTGGAGAGTGTTGGCACTTAGAACATCTTCCTATGTGCATCATGTCGGTATAATAGAAAAAAATGAAAGTATGAACACATGCTAATCAAGAACAGAAAAAAAAAATAGAGACAAAACTGCAGCAATAAAAAAATAGAGCTAAGGATTTGTCATTCTATATTATAAACAAATAATAAAATGATAAATTTCAAAGAAACCTTTAAATGAGCAACAGTTTTTTTCCTTTAGTGAAATCTGATGTGGAATCTAAACTCCAAAAACTCATATAATATAATCCAAATTCAGCTTTAAGGATGTGAGTAAACTAAATCTGGTGAAATTCATGTAAAAAAAATAATAGAATGATAAACCTGAAAGAAATGAATCAATAATAAACCTTAAGATAAGCAGCAATCTTTTGTTCGTCAGCAAAAAGATCAGTAAATTTGACAACAAAATTAGCACCAGTTTTATCCATGAAATATAATCTGTGTTTTTAATAACAATAATAAATCAAAACTCCAAAAAGTAAAGCTCATATTTTTAATACCTGATTCAAAATTCTGCATAGATAAAATAGTAGAGCATTAACAAATAACTAATCCTTCTGAACTCTAAACAATAATAAAATAAAATAAAATAAAATAAAAAAGCAGATTAGAGAACATTACCACTTATTACGATCTTGAGGCTTTGTTTATAACACGTAACCTCTTGAGTATTTGAAAATAACTCCAACATCCTCCAAACTTTTGTGTTACATATTTTTTAAATCATTTGTTTTTCAACATTTCAGGTTAATAAAAGTATTAAAAATCAAAAGATACATAAAAAGACATAATTATTTACAAAAGTTATACAAAGAGCGGTAATGTTTTATACAAAATGATGAATAACCAAAGATCTAAAAAAAAAAAAAAAAAAGTTTACTCTTATGAAATATTTAATCTCTCTGTGTGTTTTTAATAAGCCATATTAATCATTCAACTCAAAAAAAGTTAAGCTTTATTTTTTTATACTGATTTCAAATTCTGCAGTAG